TGCTGTGCCAACTTTAAATCTGAAGCCAGGTAACTAACAAATAAGTTTGATTATTCTAGATAATAAATAGATAAATGAATACAGTTTGTGCGAGCAGACATGCATTCGAGGCAGATAACTATAAAGTTAATGAAGGCGGCTTCTAAATGCCAAAAAATTGATGGTGCTGAATTATCAGATACTTTTTTAACTACGAAATAGATTTATTTTATTATTTCTCGAAAATTACAATTACTGTAATGACATTACCAATAATTGCTGAAGCGACAAATGATTTTAGGCAATGCCAGAAAATTAATTCCTCACATTGTTGTTTCAGAGCCGAGCAAATCAATCATCTTTCAGAAAATATCCGGACAAGGGGAACACTGGTACATCACAGGAACAAACATTTGTTGCAAATAGTCCCGAAAGCAACAAAACATGGTTGTAACTGATTTATTGACTACGTATTGAATAAAATATTACATAACAGGGTTTTTTTATTGACTCGATATATTTGGTGAATGCAATCATTAAGAGTCAAATATCGGAGAAATTCCTCATAGTTTGTGTGCTCATACCGCTAGGTGGACAGCAGAATTTATCTCCATAACCTATCATTGCAGTTTTCAATCTAAGGGGGTATGTTCTGTGGCGTCGATCAAGATTGGCTTTTGTGTTTGATTTGTTGTGCTTAAAGCGGGTATAGTTTTCATCAGCTTATTGATTGTAATTAGTGATATTCGCGGTTTATAGGAAGCAACTTATTTATTTGGAACTTACTGAGCAATTGCCCCTTCAACTCATTCGCCTTCCACAGGTAAGATCCGGTTTTATTGGCTATGAGTTTGATGGCGCAGGAGGCACAACCTTACTTTTAGTTCCAAACAAATCAACTAATTAAACAAAGCATTTCCAGGGATTAAATATATCTCGAAATGAGTAAGAGGAGTAGCCCAGTTCCTGCTGCCGCAGATCCACCAGCACCTGAAGAATATGTCGTAGAGAAAATCATAGATAGTCGAGTTAATGAACAGGGTGTTAAAGAGTACTTCCTCAAGTGGATAGGATACGATGACAAAGATAATACGTGGGAGCCTGAAGAGAATTTAGGTATGAACGGCAAGTAGGACGTTTTGGCTTTGTTTTTGAATATATCCTTGGTGTGCAACTAAATGATGCATGCGTTTGTTATACGGAACCCAAACCGATGTTAGGGTGGTTTGGCTCACAACGGCAATACCTATTCCACCCAGATATATTTGATGCTAATATTAATGTATAATTATTGAAAGCAACTTAATGCCTAGTCCGAATGTTTTCAAGTGATCAATAGTCTAAAGTAAAACATTTTATCCTTACGAAACTACCTAGGGAAATAATGCCCAGAAACTGTTGATTTTATAATTTCAAAGCAGGGAATTAATTACCTTAATAGGTTCCTTTGGTTTAATTAGTATTGAGGGAATTATCCAATTTTGAAATCGTTAAATTTTATTAATGTTAACGTCAACCGAAATTTTGCTTGTTACCTTGCTTATCAAGAACGTTTTATCTATACCGTGACTGGCTTATTGCTGAACGTTTTTTATAAAACTACACGTATGAAGATCACATTTTTCCACAATATCACATCATTTTCACTCTCTATAGGTATACTGAGCATATTTTTTTACATAGTGGGTGTTATGCATGTTTTGACGGGTACCTAATTGATTGCGATTCAATTTCCCTGTACTAACTTTATAATTTGCAGTCACCGTTCAGCGATATTTTTTTTATCCAATCATGGTTAATTTCCGTTTGTGTTTGCTTGTTTATTACAGCTTTCATCGTTGCATGAAACATTATCTGCTAGTTTTTTTGACTCATTTTCTTCCAGAGGTGTCATCCATACGTACTAATTACTAATTCCTTTCTACTTCCAGCATAAGTGGGCAATAACTTGAATTTGAACAAAAATATAATTTAATTTTTTTATGGGCTTCTACGGAGGCGCTAAATAAGTTCTTTAAAACGTTTTTCTTATGAAAAACTTACTTATGTAAGTTTTTCTCAAAAATTGTTCGTTTTATCGATCACTACAATATTATTTTAGCGCCTCTATGAAACATGGTGCATAAAAATTGTTGGAAGATGCCGGTACCTGGTAAAGTACACAGTAAATCAGGCAAAATTGTTTTAAAAGTTTGTCTTCTTTTAATCAAATAACCAATTTATGTGCTTATACCGACTATTATTTGATTACTTGAATAGAAACATTCTTTTTAGTGTCCAGACCTCCGTAGCAAAAAAAAACTCCAAGAAAACATATTTATAGGAACTTCTTACGCTGTTAGTATCATTTTTCTGTTTCATCTCAAATCCAGAGATTGCTTGTTTTATGTTGGATCACTCTTTATAATATTTTAAATAATTGTTGATTATGGAAGAAGTTCATTTGTAATACATGTTATTATGTACTATTGTATTTAGAAAAACTTGTTATATTATTACCAAAACTAAATTTAAAGTACTTAAATGAAATAATAATGGTGTTTGCTCCGAGAGGTAACAATGCAATCGAAATTCTTATTTGTAACAGTTGAAGTCATGCAGTTAAAGAAGACGATGTTCCTTTCGCATACTTCATCCTAATAAACAATACTGTTTATGATGTTATCTGTATAAATTTAGGCCGTGTTGGTTCAAATGACAAGTTAACGAAATTGCGCTTTGGTTTTCAAAAAGTCTTTTAAACACCAAACCAGGTTCTATTATTAATTATATGTGCAACCATACAATTTCTGAACTTAAACTTAAACTGAAACTTAAATGCTCTGTTTATTATGGCATGAAAACAAAAAAGTTTTCTTTTCCATTTTTAGTTGTTCCCCTTCACAACCTACATTGCTACCTTAATTTTACATTATTTTTTTATTTGAATTCCAGATTGTCCTGGATTGATTGCAGCTTTCGAAGCAGAGAGAGCGAAAAAGAAGGAATCCGACGTAAAAAAACGAAAATTAAGTTCAAGTAGCCAAGAAAAAGAAAATAAAAACTCAAAACCTAGAAAAGACGACAAAAAATGTCTTGGCTTTGATCGAGGCCTTGAACCCGATACAATTATTGGGGCAACTGATAGTCCAGGTATATATTTTCTTATTTCCCTTAAAAGGAATTAAATATTAATTAGGAAACACCTAATGACAAATGTGTTTTTTTAATTGCCTACATTGCTTTCTTATAACTGCTTCTATGTCCTTCAAAAAAATATTATAATTTGTTGCCAACTCTTCAGAGTATAAACAGCATTTAAATAAACGAAAACCTATAATTTGATTGCATTTACTGAATCAATATATTATTTCTCTTTTTGAGTTTTTTTTCAGTCTTAATCTTTCTTAATTATTCTCTTGTAGCATAATTTTGAACACAGTTCTCATATTTGCATTGTGTAAGAAACCAAATTAGTTTTTAGAATAAACTTCAAAATCACAGATAATAGAGTAATAAATTAATAATTTTGGTTCAGGGCAATTGATGTTCTTAATGAAATGGCATGGTACTGATGAAGCAGATTTGGTACCAGCAAAACAGGCGAATATTAGATGCCCCCAGATCGTCATCAAGTTCTACGAAGGGCGCTTAAGATGGCACCCACCTGCTCAAGTTGCAGGAGGCGATAATAAGGAGAATTAAGTGGCATTTAATGGTAGCAATTATGTTTTAAGTTAGTTTATAATGAAGAACATTTATAATCGTATTCTTTTCTGAAGAAAAGTGTGCAATCAAATTCAGTCTATTCGTTTTTTGTGAAAATTTCGATTGGCATTGAAAATTTCACCGCTTGAAAACGCATTGGAAGGTTTTCACCTTCCAATGCAAAACCAATGTTCTATTTTGATTAGTCACTTATCCACCATTTTACTGTCAGTAGATTGATGTGAAAATGCAGTTTTTGAAAATTATTTGCTGGGTGTGAGGTGCGACTACGACCGCATGCCAATATGTGGAATTGTGTTATTCTTTTTGCATGCTTATAAAATCGGAATTAACTGTATTAACCAATTTAATTTTGATATATTTTTGCTCCATTCGAGCAACAAATTCGAATGTTTCGACCCCATATAACTGCATAGTACCAATCATAGTTCATGATTTTATAGCGCTTCTCAGAAGATGTCCTGGCATTTAAAATTACCCTGTATTTTCATGACTAATAAAACTCCTTTTGGTTCATTGAATTTGATGAGCTTTATTTTTTGGCTGACTAAATGCTTCGGATGAACCAAACCATTATTGTGTGATTTTGAATGGTTCTTGTCATACCTTTTTCGCTATGTGTTATTTAATAGCCGGATAAAGAAATATGTGTTATTTAAGTAGAGATTGGAATTGCCCGAAACAAATACTTGTTTCTTGAATATTTGTATTTGGCTAATATGAGAAACAATATACAACTAAAATCCTGTGTAAATTCTTAACTTATCCGAATATACAGAGAAACAGTTCAATCTTGTTCTAACGGTAAATATATAACAGTATTTACAAATTAGTTTATAAAGCCAATTTTAAAATGTAGAATTTAAAATAAGCCCACAATCAATTAAAATACACAACTATTTCCCCTGAAATCAGAAACAGGGGTTGGAAAACTACGCAATTAATCAATTACTTATTTTTAAATATTAGGCTTTTATTTTTAAGATCATTGCCATCTGTAAGTATTGTTGAGTCTAAATCTAGTATTTATATTTCAGTCGACAAGTGATTGAAACGACGTGAATATCGAGTGTGCTTTATAAACATAAATATCAATAATTACTTCTTACATTTTAACATCTAAAAGGCCCTCTTACTAAATTATATAAAATTTTCTTACGAATATATTGTTATTTTAAAGAAAAAACTTACTTATTTTACATTCTACATTGAAACAACTATAGTTGTTTTACACGCTTCCCCTGGCCAATTACCACTAGTCTATTCTTAGTGTCTTTATTCCTTAATTTAGCGCAAGCACTTTCTTAGCATCACAGTAGTACTGTAGATCTATTCTAGACAATACGAAGTCAAAGGATTTATTCAAAATAGATGGATAAACAACGCAATCGTAAATGCAAAATTACCTGGTTATATCACTCAACAATGTTTTCAACCCCTGTGTCGTTCTGACCATCCCCTTCCTCTCGTTTCATGTTCTGAATTTGGCTTTCCGGGCTTCGATCTGTTGGCGATGTAGTACCTAAACACATCGTTTATATTCCAAGTTCCAACAACAAATTACTTTTTGGATGAAAAGTAAAAGTGTTGCGTTAGCGCGAAGTGTATTCTTTTGATTTACTGATTCTGTTCAAATCCTATTTCGTGTTTTAATCGATTTTTGGGCCTTCAAATTCATCTAAGGAACTTCCCTTTTTTTTCGGTACGAAGATAGATATTACTTGTCTTGAAAGCAGAAACACCGCGAATAAAACGAGGCACTCAACAAAAAATATCCAATATTTGGGAATATTTAATTCATAACATACCTTGATCAAAGGGATCTGGTACGGAATCATTCAACTTGTCTTCCGACTGGGACCTATACCAAATGAAAATATTAGTTTTAGCAGTTGACATTTTGCAGGTTTGGCAAGTGATGAAAATCCAATTGAGACAAACCTTAGAAAATCTTCTTTAACAGGTGCAGTATCAGCTTGTTCGCCATTTTCATGACTCAGATTATTAGATTTGTTCTCTTCTTGATCATTATCATCATTTTGCTGGCCATAGATAGCAGCAGTATTTTCCAGGTTCTGGGTTCCAGCCATTATTGCTGGAGATTGAATGTTTGGCTTTCTGACTTTATCTCCTGCAAGCAACCCAATATTTTACAATCTCTAAAAAATTAAAAAATGCAAACCTCGTCTCCATAAGGTAATCTCCTGTTGTTTGAAATATCTTCTGTCCTCTGTGTCCATTAGAACCAAATTTAAAAAGTATCTGACAGAAAATTTTTTGTTCACATCCCTCATGGTAGGTGTTAAATCGTAATCGGCCAAAAATACCCTAATGGGAATACTTTCTCCTAAAAAGAAAAAAGTTTCCATACATATTTTTGGGCAATATTCATTTATTTATATGACCTATATCTACATAAAATTGATTATTATATCTGATTATACAACCAAACCAAATTAGACATGTTATTAATCAATTTATTTCACGAATGTATTTTACTACGGATAAAGCAATATAATTGTGAAAGGTACATTTCTATTGGATGCAAATAGAAGGAAGAAAAAGCTCCCGAGAAGCTGTTTGCATTTAATATTTACCTTTAACTGGAGCTCCGTCCATTATTTCGTATTTTGCAATAGTAACAGTATCCGTATAGTTATGCGGTCCAGATCCGGTGGTTTCCCTTTTGATAATAGCAATTTCCATGTGCTTGATTTTTATCCTCACTAATATAAAATAGATTTTTCCAACTATTACATCTTTCAAGTGATATCTGAAAGCAATTTCAAATACAGATTTCGAATGGAAGCTTTCATAACAAATAAAATTTAAAAAAATTTTCTGTGACTTTGGCCCCTGTTAGGTCAATTTTTCATAATGTAAGAATGTTGCAAGCCATACGTACTTAGATTTATTATATTCAAATTCAATATGTAAACAGTCTTCAATTCCCACCTCCATTTTGATTGAATTATTCATTTCTGGATAACAACACAGTGTATGTACGGCTATATCCAATTCTTTTACTATATCAGCCAACCGCCGGATTATAGTCACTCTCAGAAAGTATCTTAATCGTACATTACCGCCTAAAATGGATAGCGTTGTCATACATTTTGACTTTAAAACATTGTTTTAGCGTATGACCTACCAGTATAGACCTCAAAAGGCTTTTCAACGTTACTGAAATCGAATGAAAAACTCGTGTGAGCAATCATTTCTCCAGGTCTGGCCAATTCTTTTACCAGAGAAATAAATTCATGGTGGTTTCCTCTATCATAAAACATTTCTATTTGCCCTATAAATTCTATTTTGATTCCTTGATGTTCGAGCTTACTGCCTGGTTTTTTCAGGCTCACATTTACCTGAAACAACCATTTAGCAATAGGTATTGAGTTTTTGCAAATGGTTAGCCAATGTTCTTCCAAACAGTTGAATTTGAGTTAAAGACTATTAGAAAGTTAATAATATTCGTATGTTGGAGATATATTACTAATATTTATAGAGGAGAAAAGTTACCTTTCCGGAAACTGTTTCTCCATCATAATACAACAACAGTCTATCTTTTTTCCCATCTTCAGTTTTTACTTCGGCAGTTTTGCGCGTTTCCTGCCCATCAAGGTAAAGGTCAATTTCGGCAGACTGACCGAAGCCAAAAAAACTCTGAAAATAAGGTTTAAGTATTTAAAAATGTGAATGTTAATGGTTTGTTTTCTCAGCTGTAATTTTTTTATTATCGATTTATACATTATGTTAGTACCAATTCGAAACGTTTATAGGACGATCTTTTTATTAAGTTAAAAATCTGACATGGTATCCGAAAATAATTGCAACATTTTTTCGTCACAAACTTTTGAAAAAATTAGACAACCCATGCTATTCATTTTTGCTCGATGAATCGTAACTTTTTTGGCTCAACAGCTTGACTAAATTCTTTAAGTTTGGTCCATTGACAAGTCTTTCAACAAAAAAAACCTTAGCAGCTCATTAGAAAGTTCGCTCCATTGCTATATATATTACTTGTATTTTGATTGACTGATGTGATTGAATTAATATCGAGCATCGCATGAAATTCTACGTTTTAATTGTAGATGGCCGGTTTTGGCACAAAATTCATTCTATTTTTGCCAAATAATTGAAACTAGTACTTCAAACAGTAAACCATTTGGTATAAACAAAAAATGCCGATTACGTAATTCACTTCATATAAAAATAAATGAATAAAGTTCTATAAACGCATTGAAACGATTTAGAAAAATGAAAAAATAACAATAAGAAGTCTTTGGAAAATTGGAATTTGTCCAAACAGACGGGATGCTATTTCTTACTAAAAGTAAACCGGCTTAATGCTGTATTTGTTAGTAACTCGATATGAATGAGATAAATCTAAATTGCTTTGCTTACTATCACGACGTATAACATGTAAAGTGTTTATAATAAACAAAGGCGCTCTTATTTAACTAGTTTAAATACTAATAAATTGAGAGTGAGGGCCAGTATTCAAATGAACGTTCTATGAAACATCATAATGATGTAATAGTATTTTACAAAAAAACGTGAATTCGGAACTCCTCATATCCAGCCATCATAATCAACTGGAAGTTGTAAAACAAAGAAACCATCATTTGTTGAGTGACATCAAGCAAGCTTCAAAGCGCTAACAAATCCTAAGCTCTTTGTCCTTCGTTTTAAAATGCTAAGTCCGTGAATCAGACGTAATTGTTGTTATTTATTGCACTGCATGTAGGGAATTTAAATATTTTAGCATTATGACTGGTGTCAAAAAAATAACACAAAATAATTAAAAATTTAGTCAGTGCCGTATTTGCATTTGATACACCCCCGTAAGTTTGATATGTAACTTTAATTCGGAAAATTCCGCAAATTTAAAGTTAATTAAAAAAAATGGCCCGTTTAAACTGGTCTTTTTTCGTTTTCAGGCCCGATACCGCTTCAAATAGGACAAGCCACCCTGTAAAATTTCGGGGTAACCCAGAATGCAAAACTACGTTAAAACTGACTACTTGCATTAACTAAACGTTATAATCGACAATTGCAAAATACTGAAATTCCCTCCCCATCAAAAGGACATCAAAACTCTCCATTACTACTACATTTATATTTATATTATGTTTTATTAGTATCTTCCATGTCAACTGATAAGCATGGAGTAAACAGAGCTAATAAGTGAATTCTTCATGAAGTTTCAACAACTGCATATAATTTAAAATTGTTTACCTAGTGATAAACTGCCCGATAAAAAAAATTAACAGCATTTATGATAAATCGTGCCGGTTATTATTGCGAAGGATGCCACCTGATCTACATATCACATATATTGCAGGAAACATGCTATAAAATTAAACAAGAGGGTCTACACTTTGAATCTAAATGACCAGATGAATATTATAGATACTTCCGACCTACGTCATCTACATACAATTCTTAAAGTAATTATTTAATTACATATAGACATAATTATAAAAACAATTTGCTGATAGGTATGTAACTGGATCAATTTTCAGTAATCAATGAAGGCATTAATAAGTGGGCTATCAATACTAAACTAAATGAGTATATACGCCTACCATTTCTGATAAAACTTACCATCCTTAAATCCAAAGACTACCAGTTCGGTCACTCGACTACCAGTACACTCGACAACTGAAATAATTTAAAAAATATAGGTAATAAATGGCTGTTAAATAGAGAAAACAGATCGAATAAGTATTAATTTTTGATGTAACACATATTCAAATGCAGCTCACATGCAAACCATTATATAGAGATGCAAAACTTACATTCACAGCAGGCTCAGGAAATGATGAACCCAAATTATAGACAATAACTGAATAATAAAGCTTTTACTGCAATAATTCAATTAATCTTTCAATGCAACTAACTGTTATGGGAGTTAACAATAATTAATAGAAATAAAAACATGGAACTTCAAGAATTTTTGTTGGTATGACATTGACGGCTGACAAATTCCATTGTCATAAACAGATGTCTTGTAGGCTGCAGGCTTGACTCAGGAGGACGTATACAGGATGCGAAAAAAAAATTAGATAAAATTATAGGAAGACTTGTACGGGATCCTTTTATTTCTGTCAGGTTAAGCTAGTAAATACTAAAACCGGTAATAAATAAAAGCAATCCCTGTCAATTCGATTGCCAACTTACCCTTTCGATAAAATATGACGCATTCTTACTATTACATAAATATAGATTTAATAATGCCTTACTGAGACTTTAATGTTTAAATACACTTTCGTAAAATGTACTAAACAAGAAAAGTAAGTATTTCCTCAGAGAAAGTGGCCTTCTACACTTGTTGTCAAATAAGGCCTTTAAGATTACTTTAAATTTGTGATGTTCCGCTTCCGGCATTTCCATCAGTAATCTGTCAAGTTAAAGTTTAAACTTTGAAAAGATAAAAGTTCCAGTTTTTCTATTAATTACCTGCGAGGAAAGCGATGGGGAAATCCGCAGCACTACCTAAGCAAGGCAGATTTATAATGTTCTTCAAAGGATTGTACCGTAACGAATTTAAATGGTGCGTAATTAATTGCATGTGGGAAGTGAGGTTAGACGACATTGATTTTTTGCAGGGCCCTCGTGAAAAGTATTGGAATTTTCGCTCTCGGAGTAAGAATCGCACAAGAATGTCAAGGAATTGAGCTCGTTCCATCATAAATTTAATCTCATCTTAGTTCTTATTAGACGTATTATGATATAGGATAAATTAAACGTGATTAAAATGGCACACTTTGTTTTCTTCACCAAAGTTCTGTTTTTCAAGTTATTTTTATGCTTTGTTTTTGCTAAACAGGCTTATAGTGATCGTTCACCTCCTAATTTCGTTTATATCCTAACTGATGATCAAGACCTTATGCTAAATGGTTTGGTAAGTGTGTTTCTAGATTCCTTAAGAATATGTTTTTTTGCCCCTTTTTGTGGTGAAACCGTTTTGTAATTATATATATTGCAGGTTGCGATGAGGAAAACATTGAACCTTGTTGGAGACAGAGGAAAGTTTTTTGTTCATGCGGTAAGTATTTATTATTTATGCTAATTGTAAATGTCTGTATCTAGGTAGTTTCTGACAAAAATTAATTGTTAAATAATCTACAAGTATTCGTTGAGTTCAGTTTTAATTTTGCACATCTATTGGGTATACAAAAATCTATTTTCTACGCACTTTTCTTCAGTCGATAAGCTTCACCTTTTTTTATGAGTACCTATTTTTTTTAACGCTTCTGTTACGTTGAAAGATACGCTACAAGATTTTATAAAGAGCACAAAATTGCGAATAAATGATTAGTGCATCAACCAAAAAATTGAGTTGATTTCATACATCAAATAAAAAGTTCTGGTAGTTTTTGTACTACGACACTGAAGAATTCACCACTGGTTCAAAACGGTTGAACTCGACTGTTTTATCAAAATATGAGTATTACATAAGGATAAGAACAAATTTACGAGTTTCTCTAAAATACATCGTACCATTCTCCCGATATCGTCAGTCACAGAACGTCTTTTGATCCAAAGAATATCGCAGTACCCTTTTGATAATGTGCTTACGGGACACCCTGTATATAGATCCGGTTACATAGCATCCTATGTCTTCCGGTTCCCAGCCTCCAGCGTTTTCTATCCTCCCAATCTCCTGGACAGTGGCATAGCGAGCTTAACTGGCGCCCGGGGCACAATACGTTTTTAAAGCCCCCCGCTCCCTATTCGGAATCTATATAATATGTAAATGTAAAATATACTCGCAAATAAATAAATAAAGAATGTAAAATGAATAAAGTCATAGACTCAAGCTAGGCTTTAAATTTGAGACAAAAAATATAATTGAGAAAAGAAGAGTGGATATATGATCATCTAGAATTAGTTCAAAAGAAACTTATTATTTATTTTACATATTTAAAAAACACGCAGTTTTAAAACAATAGAAAGTAAACATTTATTATCTCTAAGGAGATTCATATATTTAATAATAATATGATTATAATACATTAATAAAACATGTTTAAATTTTCCTTGCTTGCATTGCATTTTTCTCTCATTTTTTTTGGCAATAAGATCTTTGAATTTGGCTTATATAAGTTATAATCATTTGCGTTTTTTTGTGTTCAGCCATTTCTTAAATGTTCTCTGTTTTATGTTTCTTTGAACCTGCTAGTTTTGAATTCCACGTTCTGGATTCCGCAATCTGTGCCACACTCTATTCTATTTTATTTATTTACAGTTTGTAAATACTCCAATTTGTTGCCCGAGCCGAAGCTCTATCTTAACTGGTAAATATCCGCACAATATTGGGGTATTTAATAACTCTTTAGCTGGAAATTGTTCGAGTGAATATTGGCAGAAACATCATGAACCTCATTCGATGGCAGCGATTTTAAAGCATAAAGCCAATTACACAACGTTTTATGGAGGCAAATATTTAAATCAGGTAAGTCGAAGCATACAGAGTGTTACGAAATAACACGCAACTACGTGAAACTGCAAGGAAATTGAATGTCTCAAGTTCAGTTTAGTAGATAGCTTTGCGAAATCTCGAAAATATCGGATATTTCCAAAAAAAAATTGATTAAATGTTTTAAAAACTTGTGACAATTATTTTTCATGTAGAATCACCCTTATAATTCTTTGAGCATCATTCTTGGACACCCTGTATACAAAGTGAGTCAGTTTATTTTGGTAGGTTTCTGAGATTGGATAGAGCACTTTATTTTAAGTCTGAGTTTGTCATATAAATATCTGTCGGTAAACGGTTGTTATTTGCAATATAAGGTTTTGTTTTTTTATGTAGCTCCTTTTCTATTTAGCTTCTATAGTTTTTCCGGAAACTATCCTCGTTTCAACCACTTAGATATTCTTGTCTTCTGTTTAATTTTATTGCATCCGTTAAAAAAATTTTTAAAAACGTTTTTAAAGGAACATTTTATTAAAAATGTTCCTTCAAGAAAAACTGTTTCTGGGTTTTGGTAATCCAAAACTAATTTTTTACGCCATTTTGAGAACTTTTAATTTAAAACAAAATTTACAAATTTTCGTCAGAATTTGTTTATGTTTTCGTACAAATTGAACAAAACGTAGACAAAGAGGAAGATCTTGAGGCAACACACTTTGTGGAAAATTGTAAATGGAAAATTATCCAGTTTCTTTCAATTTAAAGTTCTTAAATTTGACCAGAGCCACTTCACAATCATCAAAATTCTTTTTGAAGATAGTTCTGATGTTTTAGGAGAATGAAAAATTAAAGAAATATTGTCGGAATACCACAGGAAATGGGCAAGTTCAAACTGAACATTTTTTTAGTTTTTACACTCGTAATGTGCCGCAAATTGAATATTATTTGTCAAGAAAAAATGAAAAACTAAAAATGTGTAACACTTATTATAAACTAATCCCATGTAAAATACCTAATTTTGTAATTATAAGCAAATTATGAAAATACTAATAACGTAAAACTACTATCGGTAAACTTGGTCACCTTCTCTTGCATTCTGACGATATCTTCCTTCGGTTAGGGTTTACATTCAGAATATCTTCTAGCGAAAGCAAATAGACAACATATTTTCGCCCCTATATCAGTAGAAAACAAATTTTCACAATTAGTTAAAAATCACATTGTCTAGTAGTGAAAATCGTTATTTTTTATACAAAAGGGCAACCGACCCTTATCGGTCTTTTTGCCCCATAATATTATAATATATTGTCTAAATTATATCGTGTATGTTTAAAAAATCAACAGTTCATGCGATTTCTTATGAATTAATAATAATAAAAAATAATGCAGTGGGTTTCTTCTAAATATCACTAAGGAAATTATTATCAATTTAATTTTAAAACTTTTTGCTTTGTTCTTATCTTCATTTATATATTTCTAGTATGGATCCAAATATGCTGGTGGAACGACCCATGTACCCAAAGGATATGACTGGTGGGTAGGATTGAAAGGAAATTCCAAATATTACAATTACACATTGTCCATTAACGGGACGAACTTACCGTTGAAAAATCTATACTTAACTGATTTATTGGTACGATGTTTGCTTTTTTATGTTTACTAGCAGCTTTTCACCATCCGATCAATATTCCAACTTTTAAAACCCACACATGCTTTACACAGAATTTCTGATTTTTTGACCACATTTTGCAAATTTTATGCTGTTTTAGGCTAATTACAGTTTGGCATTCTTAAATCAACGGTTTTTGGAAGATTCGCCGTTTTTTATGATGGTTGCACCTCCGGCTAGTCACTCGCCCTTTATTCCACCCAAACGTTACATAAACAGGTTTCCTGGAGTTGGCGTTGTAAAGAATCCTTCATTTAATTACAGCTCACAAAACGTAAGTTTTACTTTATTTTCAATAATTTGATATTTTTACGATATGCAATATAATTGAAAATAAAAAAGTTGGACAAAGTTTTCAAATTAATTTGGGATGATGCTCGGCTTAAAAACTTGCAGAGAGAGAGAGAGAGAGAGAGTAAATATTTATTTTTTAGAAACATTGGATTGTTAGAATGCCTCCGAAACGCCTTCCATCAAACATAACAATTTTAAACCAAATCCAAAGAAGGCGTTTGCAAACCCTGCTGGCAGTTGATGATTTAGTTGAGCGAATTGTACTTCAACTGAAGAAAATGAAGGTCTTTCATAAAACATACTTCATTGTTAATTCTGATAACGGCTTTCATATAGGTGTGTAGAATTGGTTATAAACATGTTCATATGGTGTAAAAATAAATTTTTTGTAGGCCAGTTTGGACAGCCGTGGGACAAACGCCAACCATACGAGGCCGATACGCGAGTTCCTTTATTAATCAGTGGACCCGGAGTTGGAAAGAAAGTTTTAGAGTCATATCCAGTATCTGCTGTTGATATGGCTCCTACAATTTTAGGTAATATAATTTAACAACACAAGCCGCTTCGGGTTTTCATTACTTGTCCTTTTAGATTTGGCTGGAATCAAACCGCCTCACCACATGGACGGCAAAAGCTTTAAAAAACAACTATTAAACAAACGAAATAAAATCGGATTTAAGTACGTTTTTATGGAGTATTGGGGAGAAGGCAATGAGAGAACGATTGAGAAGGTTTGCCCTTGGAGCTATGACGAAAATGTGATGGTGCGTTTTAGGGGGAAGACTCTTAAAGATATTTAGATGACTTAATTATGCGATGCGCATGAAAAACTGCATGAAAATTTTTATTATCTGAAGATTTTTTTATAGGAATGTAGCTCTAATCAGTGGTGTAAATGCCAGGATAGTCGAAACAACACCTATACCTGCATAATGGAGTTTCGCGAAGAGCTACGTTTCAAATTTTGCCGCTTTGATGATAGTGAGGTAAGTTTTGTTTGTTTGATTCGACTAGATTTGATTGAAAATATTTAAAATCGACTAGCAGCAGTCCATAATGTTTATGTCGATTTAAAAAATACCTTGCAGTAATTTTTTTTTCGCATGAGTATTTTCTATTGAATGGTTATTTCTCATTTCTTATCACCAAATAAATGTTATTTAGACACTTTGGTAAATAACTTATGTATTTTTTTTGTTTCCTGTAGTTTTAACTTAATATAAAAAAAAACGTTTTGTTTTTTGCCTAAAGAAAGCTTCTTAAAACTCCCAAAATAAATCGATCTGAACCATTGTTTTTCTTAATAAGTGCTCTCTTCAATTGCCACATAACCAATTTTTTTAAATTTGGGGTTGATATAGGAGGTAGTATTTTGTCTGTCCTGATCCATCCATCCAAATCCGCGGTCAGTTTGACTCTATCAGGTCAGGATCAAGGTGATTTCAATCACTCAAATTGAGAAAAAACCATTTCGAGGGAAAAAATTCTATACATCTGTACGATTTGTTCAAAAGAGACCAAATAGACTGATTATATTCAGTTCAGCTATTTGGTTATGGAGAATATTTACAGTTTAGCTAGAACGCTAGAACCTGTCGATTTATTTTTCATATATATATATAAATAATCTTTATTTCCTATAGAAAAAGGCTATCGACCCAATCGGTCTTTCTGCCCTTGAGTAGTACATATATGTCTTAGCCTAGCTTATTCTAAAATTAAGTCCTATTCCTAACACTGGTATAATTCAATCAGTGATAAAAAAAAAGAAAAAAAATTCCCGGCCCACAAAACAAACAGGTCTTAGTCGTTAGTTCAGTTGCGTTTGTAGGTGTTCTAGTAAAGTATCTGTTGGGGTACGAAAACGGGAATGTTCTGTCCGTCTTGTTAGACAAAGGGGATTCAGTATGGTCCAGTTGTGAGGGTTGTTTGTCCATTTTGTCTGTAAGTGTATTAGTCTTTCCGAAATTTTGGTTTTTTTTTCATTTTTACACATTTTGAGAATTTACAATATTATATGGGATTGCTCTAGTTTATGGCAACCACAACGTCAACTTTAAATATTTAGTTGGAATACACACACACTTTATTAGATTTTTGTGGTCCACTTGAGATTATGAATATTTTTCATGTAGCATAGCTTATTTTCATCTTCAGCGTGTTCCTAGATATCACAATCTAAATAATAATACGCAGCTGTTCCTTCCCTATTTGTGGATTCAAAGAAAATGTTAAAGTGGGTCGATCTCAGTGTGTTTCGAAAACATTCAGGACGTTCCATTATTTTTTTCTAGATAGTGCTAGACAATTTTTTCACTTCAAGTTGCGCGGTTTCTATATTGAGATTGTTTTCTGTGAACAATGCATAATTATATGTAATTATTAAAAAAAATCGATAAAAAAATGATAGCAGCTTATTCTGATTCAACTATTAAAAGTAAATAGAGTAACAAAATTTAATTTTTTAAAGTTAAAAAAGTAACTTTAGTTAAATAAAGCGGGACGCAGGGAGTGAATCTACAGAAACAATATGGTGATAATGTATGCTGACAATAAAACGACTTTACGTAGCGAACACCGTTACGTAAATTTGAATCCTTACAACTTCTTATTGAGTAATTATTTTCCCAAATTATGGATTTATTGTTTAAGCCGAGTGGTGGTGTTAACAGGATCTGAGTTAGGACTTTCCTCATTTAATTACATTTTTTAAATATTCTATTAGTATTTGTTTACTTTTCATAGACTCAAAGTTTCTTTGCTGATTGCAGATATTGTTAATTACCGGTTCAAGATATTAAAGCTATAAATTGCTTACTTTTTAAAAGATTAAATATTTTCTATACTAAATATGTTTTTTGCAGTTTATTCGATTTTTAATGATTGTATTTACAAAGTGAAATTAATTAATATCGTCGTTAATTAAATAACACTACGAAATAGTATGTATGTAAATGTTTGTAATGTTTAAAGATATAACATGTATGTTAAGGTTTGAAAACACTACAATTGTTGAGGAGAGGCACAAAAATTCAGGAGAAAATCATCAAAAATATCCACTGTTATATTTTTTCCGTTTAATAACATTTAACATGGCATTGTATCAAGATTTTGTTAAATCGTATTACTAATAAAAATCAAATAAAATAAATTAAGCGCACTTACTGCAACAACGCACAAACTGTAAACTGAAATAGTAATGGACAAAACTCGCTACTAGAATAAAAACGATTTTTTACAATATTTACAAATATTTATTTTAATGTCCTTTCGGAATTTTTGCCTGCCTGATTCCATTGCGTAATTTTTGAAAATTTTGTTTTTTTCAGCGCTTTGTCGAGGCCTATAATTTATCTCTGGATCCATACGAACTGAAAAATGTATACCCCCAAATGAATACAAAGCTTATAAGGTTTTACAACAATATTCTGAATAAGTTCAGAAAGTGTTCAGGGCGGTCTTGCAAGACTTTATGAAAGTAGCGTTTTTCTAAACACGACCCACAACGAAAAACAATAAACTGGTGATACTTCGGTACAATTGTTGTCAATTTTAACGTTCTGCATACAAGATATTTTGCATCAGATATTCAGTTATTTCACCGGTTAGAAATTTTTCTATGATTTATGTTTAGTAACAATAGTATTCCAATAGCATTTTTTGGTTTAAGATTCGAATTTGAGATAGAAGTATAAGCAAAGCAAGCAACAACCCTTTTTTTGTTATTTAATGTCCGGCCCTGTGAATAAAAATTTTTTTTTTAATTTATTTTCATAGGTAATAATTTTGTTGACATGAACTAAGCAATCGATATCAACTCCTGTTTCCTACCATTTTTACAAATTAACTGTCAGTATTTTTGAAACTAACTATTTACTAGTATTATATGACGAAACTAATAAATATACTTAACTTAATCAATTTTATACCTAAAAGTATTTAGTGGGATTATAGAGACTGTAGTTTACACACCGCTTTACTTGCAAAGCAACGAACATATTTAAAGGTTTGTGATTGTTAATTACTCATTGCAGTTTCCGCTTAACTGATTTATAGACAAGTGTTTTGATGTTAAGTGTTTTGTGATGCGTCGAGCGCCAAAAAAGTATTAGTTAATGAAGTATCTGTAATTGCAAGAATAATTCATTATCTGTGCCGATTTAGAACTGATACCTATGGAATCATTTAATTAATATTTTTGATTAATTAAAATAAGTTATTTAATCACATGAATAATGTGCATCACACAATACAGTGTTTATTCAATAATGTACTTATTTATATTTGCTAAAAAAGTACTTAAGTAAAGTTTTATTCTTGACAAAAATCAAGCTTTCATTCTTGCATCGTCAGAAGAATTCGCTTGTAATTCTTTTGAGCCACTGTATAATCTTTATTATAAAATAGCTTCAGCAGAATTAGTAATTTGAATTGTATTGCTTCTAGTTGTTTCAAGGAATCATTGGAACCGGCATACATTCTTGCCATTGTCGATTATGAGTTTGTCAGTATTTTTGCATTTATGTTCGAGCTAACAAGCTGTTTATCTACTAATTTAATATAATAAAGTGATTTAAATTTGTGATGCTCTACTTTCCTAATTTAAAATTATTTACTTGAAAGCGTTTAGGTTCTTTCTATGTTGTAATCGAAGTGTTGAGTTGCAATGGAATTAATCACATTTTAATAGACCTGAAAAGGTATATGTATTTGTTCTGACTATTTCATATTTTAGGCAGCATAACAATGTATTAAAACCTCAGAATTGGATAATTTATCATTTCTTCTTTATTAATTCCATAGTGAATCACACTTATAGACTTAGATTGTGATATGTAATCTAGTAACTGTAGTAGCAAAAAGTATTTATGGATTGCATTTATAAAATCCGAATTAAATTATTGACATTATCTTAGGGAAATATCCTAATTCATAAATCATATGTTGTTAATTTGAAACCTTTGACAATAAAGCTGTGAAAAAGTTTCTTGTTTTACTTCCGAAACTTGCTTAGATTTATAAGATTTCAACATTTATTCCGAATGTTTTCATCTTTTCCACAAACTTTTCTTAGAGCTCAATTGCTAAATCCAATCCAATCAGCTCAATAAAAGCTTTAAGATATACGAAGTAAATTTCCTTTTTATTTTTTAATATACTCTTTAATAATTTACCTAAATAAATTAGAAAGTTTGATGCGCGTACGATATGGCTACACAATAAAATTGTTTTTGTTTTAAAATGTTTAAAATATTAAACATTGTAATTTAAAAAATTTATTTTATCCAAATGTTAATTTTTAAATTAATTTATGAATAATGGGATTTTTAAAACACTCAAAAATGGTTATTTATGTAGGTTTATATTTTTTTCGTAAATGTGTGAAAAAAGAATCGATTTGTTGGCAATTGAAAGTGATGCTGGTAAGCTAAAAAAATATTATTTTAAACATTCAGGAAAAGCCGTAAGTGGGACGCAAGTTAATTACATTTTGGACAGTTTTTCTAGTTATCCGACAGTATCATAATTGCTAACAATAACTTGAAAATTGTATGCAATTTTACAAAAATAAAAAATGAGCAACTTCGCCACCCTGGAACGCAAATTAGTAGGTACCACTGGAGGTTTTAAACTTTTATGGCGGATTTTTGTAGTTCAGCTACAATAAACTGCGTCACTCTGTGTAGCTCACATTCTCACATTGTGCAATTATTGCGGAAGGAGAACTGTGGAATAAAAAAAATAAAAATTCATTCGGAAAACTTTGTTCAGCTGTAAAAACTGCTTCAGAATCATGTGGCGAATCAAACTTACTTAGTATTGCAAATGGACTCTTAATTAATTCATATTCTGCTATTCTGCTCCTTAATAGCATATTCCCAGTATAACTCGTTAATAAGTACTATGAAATGTTTCAAAAGTTAATGCTTTAAAAGTTATGTCTGGGAAAAACGTTAATGTTATTCAAATAATAATAATAATAACATTAAATACCGTCCTAACAAATGTAAATCAGCCGTTTTATTTTGGTATTCAAGAATCTTTACAGACATAATCTTTAGACAGAATATACGCAATTACTGTAGCTTTGGCCATTTCTAAATGGAAATTCCTAATCTTTATGTGTGTATGTAGATAGACAGCAAAGTGCTGTTTAAGCTTGATTCGTCATAAAATTTTTCTTGAGGAAGATAAAGTGGAGAATATTAAATTAATGATCTTATATAAAAGGGATGAATATTTTCAGTTTAAACTATTATGAAAGGAATTTTTCGCGGCTTAAACTATTAAAATTGACTTGCTCACTTTGCTTTACAAAAATCACCCAAGCATTCTTTGGACTAACTATAGATATTTTTTGCATTAAAATACAATGTTTATCTTTTCAAAGATTGTTGTATTTCTTCTAAAGTTTTTCCTTTAGTTTCTGGTACCCATCGAATAGTTAGAATCGTGCTCATCCAACAACAAACACCGAAAACCAAAAATGGAGCATATAATCCCACGTTAGCAGTTAAAAGGTGGAACAAATTGGTTGTTACAACTACTGCAACGCCCCATGCTATAATAAGGATACAAATTCCTTTAAACTTGATACTGGCCGAAAATAGTTCACTCAACATTAAAGTAGGTACCACTCCCAAGCCAAATGAGTATGTGAATACGAAGGAAATCATTCCTGCTAACGGAAACCAATTGATTTTGTCGAGATTGGCAAATTGAAATTGATCGATAAAGAAAAACACTGCCATAGCTATGAGCACAGTACCGGATGCGATCAAGGAGTAAAAGTATGAAAGTTTTCTGCCCCACTTATCCACCGAACTGCAACAAATCAAGTTCAAACTACAAACAAGGCTGCTGAAAATAATTGATGAAATTTGCGGGCTCAAGTTGCCACCAGCTTTCTGGAAGATCGTCTGCGAATAAGTAGCGAATACAGTTATTCCGCACAGTTGCTGAGAAATCCGTAGGAAGCAACCAGCTTTCAGGGCCTTTCGGTTACTATCAATCAGGAAAAGGTCTTTCCATTTTCCTCTTTCGGAAAGTTGTCGGTCTACATCTGCTTTCATACTCTGGAAATCTTGTTCGATGTTAGGCTTGCGTCGTAACCATCGAATGCTTTTCTTTGCAGCGTCAAACTTTCCATCTTTGATCAGTTGGTAAGGAGATTCTGGAAGTGCTGTCAATAATAAGGCAAATACGACTAGAATGGCGATGCAGATGTAGGCTGTTGTTTGGACACTCAGGTAACTTCCTGAAAATTAACGTTTCTGTAAAATATCGTAAACCCGCATCAAAGTACATGTTACTTTTTACTTTAATCATATCAAATGCTTCCCATTAGCTGTAGTTTTTATATACATACTTTTGTTAAACTGACCTTCCTCCATTAATTATTTATACATGCCTTTATGCCTTTTCAAGGATTTTTAATTATTAAACCACATACTCAACGAGTGAAATAAGTTGTTTTAACTAATATTATTCTATGCTAAAATTAAGTAGCTTGGGAACGACCGAACTCAGAAGTTGAGCGTTTGCAGGCAATAGTAGTCTTTTGGTGTTGAAACCTTTGACAAGCAAAATACACTAATTGCGCTTTATGCGAAATTAGAACAACATAAGCAAAAAATACATAATTTAATGAATATTTTTAACGAAAAATGAAAAATTGTCCGTCGTTCATCTATAAACGAAAATAAGCTGTATGAAGATAACTATAATACATATTTTTTGCATAACTTTATTACCAGCAATATGTAATTAGAAAATATTATAATTTGGATTGATAGAGTAGATTTTCAACAGTTTTTATCTATTTAAAGTGTGTAAAAATATTTATTGATGAGGATGCGATTTTTCAATGCAATAATCGCATTCCCTTATAAATAGATATGGTAAAGGTTTTGTTTACTTATTTGTATCATAAAACTATACCAATAAACCAATAGCGTGTCGAAAAATTCAATTAATTATTTAGATTTACTGATTTAATTAACATTGATGAACGTGTATCCATTATTGTGTCTTTTCAATTACACATTTTGCTTTATAACTTTCTCCATTAATTAAACATGAAATCTAATTGATTCTTTTGACTAGCAATATAAATTATTGTTGGTAGCACGATTCAAGCTCATTTGTTATATCTATGATTTTATGTAATTATACATATTTTAGGGAACTGATGGATTTCAATCTATTTTATCACATTTCCGTAATAAGTTGCGAGTAATACAAATAAATTATTTAATTCAAATGAAGCTATCGAATTCGGAATAAAATCCAACCTAATTATTAATGAAATATGCCACATAAGTGTGCAATTATTTTCATGGGGACTCTACATAAGATCAAATGTTCTATTTCATGTTTATATGTTGCCTTTATAAATGATTAAATTAGAAATAATTTTTTAATTCAATTAACTGGCTTTTAATGATACAAAGTCATAAAATAATAAATGCACCCGTTTTAACACATTTTACCTTAAATTGTATTTTGTAATTATGCTTGTACTTTTATACAAAGGAAATATAACTTTTCTTTCTTAGTTGTTATAATTTTGTTTCATATAGAAGCGAGCGAACTGTGAAACATTACATATGAATGCCAACTGACCACTAGTGTACTTACCGTTGATTGAAAGAGTATATAAGTATACTCTTCAATCATCGGTACTTACATTGTTGCTCTTACTTGCACATGAAACGTTTTTGCCCATATAATTTTATTATTTTGTTTCTAATTTAACAAAAGTTATTCGAGGTATGTCTGATGTTATTTCAGGTGCACTTGCTGAACTAGTTTGTTTAAAATAATTTTTCTTTTACATTTTACTAATTTTCTATCCTGTGAAGTGAACCTAACTATCAAACACATACCTATTTTATGGCTTTCTTTATTTTAAGTAATTTTTATCCAATTTATTTAATTTCTTGCGACATTTAATGTGTTTCTTTTTTATATGCTATTTTATTTTTCCAGTGTTTTAGTATCTTCATCATTTTTCGTTGTTTCATTTATTTGTTATTTTTATAAATCATTAGATTGGAAGTATTTTTTTAATTCAATTAACTGGTTTTTAATGATATGAAATGATGCATTATCCAATCGATCAGTTGATTAAACTGTAAGTACTTTTTATATTGATTTTTATGGAATAAACCAAACTGAATATTCGGACTAAGCTAAACTGAAAAAAATTCTACTTAATTTATAAAAAAGCTGGCAGTTGAAGAAATCTGCGGGATTCATTTATTTATTTTGTTGGAAACAAATCACTTTGGAGTTGAATTCCATATAATCATTCAGAATACTAAACTATCTTCAATGTGTATTCTTTCTGAAATTGGAATTGAAACCTAAAGTTTTTTATGTCAAAAACTGCATTTAACTTAATTTTTGCGTTAATATTTTCTTATTTATTAATTATTCTTATTTCTTAATTTGATTATTAATATTTTGTTTTCTATTCTGATCAACTTTTTAATACTGAGGCCATTTGGACCACACTTGCATTATTACTTATTAAACTATACCTCTAAGGAGTCCGAAATACATTATAAACTTTGTGTGTGTTAATACATACATGATGATACATATACTTACTCACTATGAGTAAGTAAAAAGGTATCAAAATAAAAAATGTTATAATCATTTAAATTGGTGTTTTTAGTAGCTCATTTGGTAATTGGTTTTAGTCGACTTAATAAAAAACGTAAAATTTTGGCCGTATTTATCAAAAATCAAAATTATTTGTTGGTGAAAACTAGTACATAGTTGTATTAATGATGTACGGTAGATTTGAAACATATATATTTTTTTATCCACAGTTGATATCCTTGAAAAAATGTTTTTAAATTTTAATTTTAGATTTATTTTCTTTTCAATCAACAATATATTAAAAATGCGTTTTGTTTTTATTGCATTATTTTGAAGGTAAGCACGACTTCTTTTTAAGAACGCACATTTCGCAACATTTCGTTAATTAACACATTTATTATGCGATTATATAATTGCGGCGGTTGGAACAATAAAAAATATAATATAAAATAGTAAACTTAAATGTCTGTATCTCTATAGAATTCTAGCTACTACTTTTTTCTAGAATTGGTATCTAAGGCAATAAAAATATTTTTAAATCTTATATATCACTACACCAGGTATATTAGTAAACTATGTATGCATCCTTCTTTCCATTTAAACTAAATAAGTTAAATTAAGTAAAGTGAATCAAATTAAAACTTTGTAGGTACGTACCTATATGGATATTTCTAATAATTCGTATTAATTAATTTTGTATTAAGTCAGCAAAACATTTTCATTTCGATGAGTGCATCGATCATACATGAGTAAACTTATCTCATCCAATCAAAGGAGATGCAAATTTGTATCATAGTGTGTGTATATAAATTTACATCTCCTTTATTGGATTTTCTTCACAGTGTGCACACCCGCTTCCTTCCTTTTAAACCTATTTCAACTTCAAACATGAAAATCAATATGGCTTTTAACGTATTAAACATTGTTTTTTTTTTTAATACATACCTGCCACATTTATGAAAAGGTGTCCGCAGTAATGCATGAATAAAGGAAAATTTCCCCAGAAGCCTCTAATTGATGGGGAAAGAATTTCGCCAACATAAGATGGAATACTGCAAAATGCTGCGGTATCTCCAATGCCAGCAATAAACCTGGCGGCATAAAACTCGAATTTGCTCTTGGCAAAAATTGTTATTAGCCAACTAATTAGGTAAGGAACGGTTAAGAAAAATAAGGCCTTTTTTCTTCCCAGGAAGTCGGCGATTTTAAAATAAAATAAACTACATGTTATCATTCCTAAAAGCATGTGAATCAGTTTCAAATTCATGGTCGCCTTATAAGACTTACCAACTGGTTGAATTACTATAAAATATGATGCTTCTTCTTCTGAAATGTCATAGTTAACTTTATCCTGAGTTATGACCAAGCTAAACGGTGAACTCCAAACGAAGATTATCCCATTTGAGAAAAGCCCTAAGGAAACTGGCAAATTGCGGGTCATTAGCTTTCTGCTATTAGTATTGAAATTGAAATATACAACCTACCTACTAAAACTGCTAGGATTTGAGAATAAATTTTTTCCTCTGTCTCAATTTTCTTTAGTTCCATATTGATTGGCTATATTAACACACTATTCAGCATTATACGACAATTATGTGAAAGGTATTCCTTTACTTTTGATAATGAGATAAGGTTTGTTAACTTTACTACGCCAATCACACTAATTCCAAAACAATCACATATTTATAATCAGAAATCACTACTTTCATTATACCGTTGTATTTTTTTACCGTAAAACATTACATTTGAATGCTAACTGACTACGTACATTGTAAACGCCAGCGAAAATAAAAAATACGTCTAGAATATTATATGTATCTCAATAAGTCGATCAAATCTTGTAATATACCTTCAAAACCACTTACTTATCGATCAAACGCTGAGTAAAAACATATAAATTGACTTTTAAAGGTCTGATAATTAAGAAATAGAAAAACGGAAGTAAAGTATAAGAAAAGTTTACGATTTGGAATCCGTAGCTTCAACGTCAAAGAGACTCAAGTTACAGGGGCCGTAAAAAAGTGATCCACCTTCATTCATATGGTCGAATTTCACTAATTTTCACTATCTCAGAATTTGTAACCAGATTTTGACGTAAACTTTGAGATACTTTTCATATATCAGTCCACATAATAAGAGTTTGTATTTTGATTTATTTCTATCGGATTGAGCTCCTTCTTTCTTGCATCTAAGTACGGCCCAATGAACTTTTGTATTTTAGTTTTAAACATATTGTAGGATCTTCTCAATTAAGTTATAGAATGTTGCTATCTTATGTATTCCTAATTTCTAAGAAATTGCATATGAATAGTGACTCTGGTTTTAGCTATTGTGGTGCTCACCATCATCAGCATGTTTGACAATTTTATTTGGTGTCGATGTTGAATAATATTTTCTTCCATGTTTTGGTTATATTTATCCTTTCTCTTAGCTATATATATTTTCATCTGAAAATGTACAATGTTTTGAAGCGCTTTCAGACAATAAATTATTTTGTTCAGTAGATTTAAAAACTCTTTCTTTTCGTCCTGCAGGGGTCCACAAGAATTCAAGTGCTCAAGTGTACTAGTGATTTTTTCACCTGTAAGTGAGAACGAGAGTCTAAATAGATCTGTAATAGATTACTTAAGGTAGTTTAAGCAATTATCATTTTCTTCAGGTTTCTGAATTTATGATCAGTATTTTCATTAGTTCTTCAATGTAACTTTGCAATGTAAATTTGTTTGGTACATCTAAATATTTGAAACTCATTGGCGCGCCTACTATGCATTTACTTGTAATTCATTTTCTTCATCCTTTTGCGCTGTGGATTTTTTATTTTAGTTTTTTACTCTATCCGATCGTGATGAAACCGATACTCTTTACTACAACAATTACTAAATATGATGAAAATATCCAATTTCATCTAAAATATGTTACGTTCTTGAACTTTGCTTTATTGAATTAAACACTTTTCATAATCCAGTCTGGGCTTTGTTCCCTATTCTGATGTCTTTTCTTTGTTGCCTTTGCGATTACCGAATAATTGTAACCTTCAAACGATTTTTTTGCTTTTTTTCTTTTTAATTCGTTCGAAGTTTCTATTGTTTTGCCTTTCTAGGAAGCTAGCAAATTTTGTAGAATTTCGCGTTTTTGCTGGAAGTAACGTGTGGTGCAAATAAATGTTTTTGACCGAATAAGGGTGTAATCAATATTGAGATTAAGCAATCTGATCGGTCTTCTATTATCTCATAAACATCGTTTAATTATTCGTAATAATTTGATTAATAATATTCCGTTCCAGAAGCAAAAAGTACATACAGTCTTATTTCAAGCAAAATCCTAGCTAGTTTTAAACTTAAAGAATTATTTTCGATATGTTAGGAAATCCATTGTTGAGTTTACCAAAACGTTAAAGACATATTAGTAAATGATAATTCAAATAAAGAAGTAAAATTAACAAAAAAATTTATCTTACTTAAATTTATCGCGCGCTAATAACTTGCGCTAATAATTGGCTTACTTATTAATACAAAAAATATATATATTTTTTATTTGCATTGTAAAAATTACCTGAAATAATTTAGGCCCAACCTTAATCACGTTTATAAAGAATTATTTAATAAATAAAATAATTGTGCATTATTTAATTGCAGGCACTTACGCCTCTTTAGCACTTCCAATATTTTTGTATTTTTTTACAAACTGATTGATGGGTATTTCGCCTCAATTTTTTTTTTGTATTTTTGTACACTGGTCACCAGGAAATTATACTTATTATACCCGAAACGGTTAATTTAAATACATTAATTAAGTACCAGGTTAAAGCTATCGTTAAAAAATGCTTTAACATTCAACGGGGGTCGAAATATTATCCGTATCGATCGCATATTGTGATTTTTGTATTTGATTTTGCTATACCACCATGTCCAAACGTTAAATTAAGTTTTCAACTTAGTATTGTATTTATATCTTTTCTGTATACAGGAGCATGTGTACCACCAGCTTTGGAACACCGCTGATATTGGGTAGATGCAAAATTCAACACAATGATCGAAAACATTTTTTCTTATGTTGAGTTCTAAAAACAAAATTATGTACTAAATTAGAAAACTGTCGGAAAACGCTTTGTTACAAAAATAGAGAAGATGTAAATCAACTGGAAAATGTGATCATTTTCAAATGATTACACACTGAGGAGCACCATTATTATTTCTACTTATATTATACGAACATCAATGTTAGAACTCAAATTGTGATTCACACGTAAGAAAATGTGCCAAATTTATTTTCCGACTCACATTTCATTTTGATATTTTGAAATAGTTGGGACACTGACTTCTTAACAATTTATATTTAAAATCCTGTAAAAACTTGCTTTCTGTAAAAAATAAAGCATTTTCACATTCTGTGAAAACATGGCAAACTGTGTTCATCCAATTATAACTCAGCTATTCACTCAGTCATTCGGTAACAAACATATCTAATAGACCAAACTTTTTAAGGAAATTTGAAACATAACTGCAACTGCAGTTGTTAGTAGCTAGAGTAAATAATTTAATTAATTGTAGATACTAATTTTGCTGAAACGCTGAAAAAAATTAATATAATTAATTAAATAATTTCATTCATAATCCTTACTGTATCAATTCCACATTGAGCCTAGATTTATAGCATTTGATCTAAAAGATCCAAATAACCAACCCAAATAATAAACATTTACCATCTGTTTTTGCCAAAGTTTAAATAAGCCTTTTTCGGGTTAAGTTCTTTAGGGATTCTCAGTAACACTGCAGAAGATATTTGTACAAATGTAGTTTATTTCGTGTATTTTTCTGTGTAAAATAATGCCAGTTATGTGTCTGTATTTGTTTATAATTTTGATAGTAAGTATTATATTTGTCAATATTGTCCAGTTTCTTTGGAATTTGAACGTATCGCATTTATATCTGAATGTTGCTGTTTGCCTAGATATTTCTATTCTAAACAAAAATAGAATAGTTTTGCAGCATCAGGGTAAATCACAATTTTAAGCATTCATTTTAAATATATGTATTTAAGGTCTAACGGCCTTTTGAGTAGGCGAAATTCAACATATTGTGCTACAAAAGTGATGAAAGTTGAGACATGTTTCCTGTTTCAGTTTAATTTTATATGTGAAAGTGCCCAATTAACATTGTTTGATTTTAATGATAGCAGAGGCTCAGGTGAGTAACTCCTACCTAAAATCAATCGTCTTTAGCTTTGTACTCTCTAAGGGTTAAATCTAAATGAAATGAAGAAACTTGTGGTTAATAAAAATGCATTCAGGCGCCATTGCTTGACGCTAAACACGTTTTGATGTTAACGCATTTTTGCTAGCCGTTAAATCTGTTATAATAGATAAAATCTGAAATCAGATGTAAATCCAAAGTGCAAAGATTGCGTCCCCCGTTTATCATTTGGAGGGTAGAAACAGCTAAACCTTTGAGATTAGTATTTTAGAGGAAATAAGGAATATACATAGTAGTGGTTATTTGAGCATTAGAAGAATGGCTAGACTTGGACTATGAAATCAAAAGTAGTAAAGGGTTGAAAACTCTTAGTGCCGCCAGCAATGGACAATAATTTAACATAATGTTTTTACTAACAAATTTAAAGAAATTAACACATGTGGTGTAGTGTAGCATTTTGCAAAATTTTTATAACATTAAGTTCAAATTTATTGTAGTAATAAGGAAGAAAGAAATCAAATGCTTAATGGAGAAAAATCTTTTTCCAAAATTTCTTATATTTGAAGCGAGTTTTAATATAATTAGAACAATTGATTTTTTTTCCAGCTCTACCAGAGAAATGTTTTTATTGTATGGTTTTTATTATTTCGGTACAATTAAATTGTCCATTTTAATTCAGAATTTTTAGTCACACGTAATTAGTTCATCCGACACAATCTAACCAACCATACTTAAAACATCTCAGGCTGACATTAACTAACCCATAACTTCTCCAGATTCATTGTAATCTGCTTTTCTGCGGTTTCAATGCGGTCACAAATCGTCTAAATCACATAAAAAGCTAAACTTCAATTAGTAATAATAATACCTATATTTACCATGAACAACACGAATCTGATTAACGTGAAACGTAAAAGGACATATGTATATTATTAATAACAGTAAATTAAATATATTGTTATTACTATGTGCGTATAACAACTGTTTTAGCGCAAATACTTTTATAAACTTTTTGAAGTTCGTCGGACATTTTTTCAGTTCAACTTCAAATATCGAAATGCAAAAAAGGAGAAGCAATGTGTGAAAATGTTGATTTTTATCCGCATCGATACATTGAAGATGTCTTAAAGAACTACAGAATGCCAAAATTGTTTTTTGGCCAGAGTGAGGTAACATTCCTTCACTTGCATCAGTAGAAAAACTCACTAGTATCATTATAGGTACCTGAAGATGATTTTTTCTCAGATCGACAATACGGCGAAGATGGGAGATTTGTATGCAGTTCCATAACCAGAACAATATTTCCCAAATCAGGACAAAATAAGGACAACCAATGGAGATTTATTGTTAATCAGGGATCAGGGGATGGGTTTGTTCAAGGCGTTCAAGTCGAAGTCTGCAGAAAGTATGCAACGGAATTTTCTATATTTAAAACATAGTTTTTAATAGTCTTTGTTTTTTGTAGCCCAGAGCGAGAATGTGATATACCGGGGGGCGCTCCATTAGAATACGAAACTTTCTGTAAGCAAAAGTACATTTACAAAAAGTTATTCGCATTAAATGAGAGAGGGGAGCTGTTGCTGGAATCTTTTAAAATGCCATCAGCTTGCTGTTGCCAATATAAACGAAGATATAATGATTTTTCAAATAGGATGGGGTTTAGTGGTTCAGAATCCAACGGAACTGCCACTAGAGTATGGACTACTGTTTGAAAAGTAAGTCGTAACCGGTCATAGAAGTATAGATTTGGGTTCTTTACTTTGTACTAATTTACTTTGACATAGTTGTATGCAATATTTAGTGGCACACTTTAAAATGAGAATACGATTATGCAATTATATGCTTCTATCAACATGATTGATATGAAATCGTACATTAAAAA